ACACCTTTTCCACAGAAAAGTGAACCCCACTGGTCTCCCATTCATTCTAACTAGTTACCCTGCTTTAAATGTTTCATATTGTTATTGGAATTAGATTGTTTATTTTTATATTTTTCTAATTTTTTATTTTCTATCTTTTCCTATATAAACTCCATAGGAACAAGGACATACTATCCCATGCATGCGCCATACGTGGATCTGAGAACAGTATGGCACATAAAAGATCCTCAACAAATATTTGCTGAAGGAATGAAACATTTCAGGTGCAATTACACTTGAACGCTATAAGCAGGGAAGTTCAAGGAAGCTGACAGATTAGGGGCACATGCTCAGTGATGTTGTAACTCAAGGGCATGAGATTGGCTCTACACACATGTGCAATCCCCACTGTCACGCCATCGTTTCTACCAAATCAGCAAAAATGGCCAGACTGAGGATTCCTGATGACATGCGATGCCTGGGCCGTTTCACACACTGCCCGCTATCTGATTGTTTCCCCTTTCCACTCCTTCCATTTTACAGATCAGGAGCATTCGCTTCAGAGGAGGGAACTGTATTGTCGTCAAATGCTCCCTTTCTCAATATGTGAATAGCTCAAGTAGAACCCTACCTTTCTTACTATGAGAAACGTACTTAGAAATTCTTGAAAATTAACTCTATGCTATTTCAAAACATCCTTTATGACCACAATTGAAGACATAAACTCAGGGACACCTTGATGACTCAGTGATTGATTGATAAGATTTTCTCTTTCTTCTACAGTTATCTTTGGTCAAGATATCAACCCTCTCTGTATAGAAGTTAAAAGCATTTCTTTAAATATTATATTATTAAGTGAAAGAATACATATTATGTTCTTTGATGGAAAGCCTGGGCTTCAAAATCATAATGATGAAACATGAATCATTGGGTGCCTTTCATTCTTCTTCTGAAAATGTTATCCCGAGTGAGAAAGATTAATGATGAAAATGATATTCAGACTTAGAAGTAAAACAATAACTTTCACTGTGCCTTTTTCTAATCTAAAATAAGTAGGAGGTATGTCATACATTTTTAAAAGCTTTAGAAAGATAATAGTAGGATAATAAAGAATGATAGGCAGCTTACAGTCTTCCCCAGCCCTCTTTCTACCCCAAGCTCTCAGCCCTGCTCAGAGCCAGGTGATGACTAGTGTAGCTTCCTTTGCACAGTCCCTCCTCCTCCTTCTGAGTATTTATGTGTCATCTTCCTTTCTTCAGTCACCATTCACGTATCCCTGTATCTACCAGTGTTTGTTTTAACTCTACACTACATACATAAAGGCATTTTATCAGCTGTCATGGATAATACAAGGTCCCTGTTTCCAAGACATTTGAAATCACTTGGCGTAAAGGTCAATTTCCAAACTTGTCCACTTATTTCCCTGTCTCCTTTTTTTCCCCATAATACCCACAAAACTACTGCAGGGTCTGTCGACAAGTCTGATTTGTCTAGAGTTACAAATCTGTAAACTTTCCACCGATAGTTAACAAACTACTATGCCCGAATGAGGGCTACTGTCCTCATTGTTAAAGCATTTAAATCATGTTCCTTGGGCCTGGAAAAATAATGCAATGTTCTCACAATCCTGTTTCCAAGAGTATCTATTTGGATTTTTAAAGACTTGTTTTCAATGGTGGTCACATGAACAAAGTGAGAATGTAAGAGAATTATTTAAATTTTCCTCAGTTAGGGACAGTTTCCTAATGTAGAAAGAAGATATAATGGAATATAGTATCTGTCCACAATTCTTTCTTGTCTCCTTGCCCTTGCCAGGAAAATCATTGGATGGCATTGTGTGTCCTTACCCCAGTGATTTTTGGATTGGCCATGAAACTGACTTTGAGCCATGCAATGTAGGCTGAAGTGCCAGCATGGTAGTTCAGAGCGGAAGCTTTAAGAGACTCAATATATTTCTGCCTGCCCTCTTCTAGTTTCAGTATTTTCTCCACCCAGAGAAAACTATGGTCCAGAAAGATACATCCCTTTTTACTGGGTCTGTATTTAAGCAAATGCGAACCCAACCCCAAAGCAGAAATCTGCCCTACTCTCTGAGCCCAGGTAGGGCTAACAGAGAAATTCATCCAACCTGTAGACTAGTGAGCATGAAATATGACTTATATTATCCTTTCTATAAGCCACTTGGATATGAGGGTTGCTTGCAAGTCAGCATCATCAGAGCAGAAACCTGACTAATATAGCAGCTGGTTTCAGAAGGATGTGCTCTGTAATGAAAACTAACTAACTGAGGGTTTTCCTTAAGGAATCATTACAGGGCTCCAGTGAAACAGTGACCCCCTGGCTAAATAATGAGTAAGCATGGGTGCTAAGAGAGCCATTTACCAAAATGTCCAGGCTCCACAAGATCTTTGAATTGCATGATAGTCTTTAGAAACAATAGCAGAACTGAGAAAAGGTGAACTGCTCCCAAAAATATCTCTCGGTATATAGGAAGAATGTCACCAACCTAAAATCGATATTTTTGTCTATCTTGAAACACATTACAAACCAGATTCACTGTCGAGTATTTTCTTATTTTACAATGGGGAAAAGCCAGGTGCTGAGGTTTTTTTTTTTTTAAGTCATAAAGCAGCATAAAAATAAGCTATGATCTTCTGCTAAAGCTAACACATCGATTCACCATAATCCCTGAAGGTTAATGAAGCTACACGAGGTGAGTGTCTCTCAGTGCATGAGGTCTGAATTACTCAAAATAAAAAGAACCTTGAGAATCCATCTGCCTTTTTAAAACAGATCATTCTAACACCAGGGAGTCCTTTCTCTTAAAAGTTATTTTTCTCATCAAATGCAAAAAAAATACAAGTCCATTTAAATGAAAGCAATCAGGCAAAATAATGTTTATTAGAAAATGTCTACTTATGTTTTCTCGCTATGTGATGAGGAGAAAATAATATGCACTGTGATGATTTTTAATCACTTTTTTCAGAAGGTGGTAAACAACTTTCCACTTTTTGACCTGAGATTTTTACAAAAGTGACTCCACAAACCTTTTCAGCTCTCAATGGCCCCCCTTCTGTGTGCCCCAGAAGGGCACAAGCCCATCCTTCATGTGAAGGACCTCCCAGCCCTCAAACATGACAAGGGAATATTGGACAGACAGCAACACATCACATGTTTGATCTTTCCTACTGCAATTATCTTTACTTTCATGAACATTCCAATTTATATTATATGATACCCTACCCTTAAGTCAGCATTTATTATGAAGGCATATATTCTAAGACAAACAGGCACATCCTTGGGTGGCTAATTTTAGACAATGGCCAACAACGTTCTCCTACTGTCAATAAGCTCAGAGATTAGTTATAATAAGGATACCCTGACAACTCCATTCACAGAATTAATTAAATATCACAGTGTACTCGCTCCTTTTAAACCAAGTGTTTGGGCAAAAATAACCACTCTTAATTTTTATTTCTCTTTGTCTTTATGTTCGAATGTTAGCTATTTCATTCTACCTTTAGTTTCAACAGCCCTTAAAGAGCTGGGATGAGGTGACTTTCACTGCTTGTGGTCTCAGCATCTAATAACACACATTCTGTATGTCTTGTGCTTTTAACCTTTACATTACTGGCACATACACAGAAACACCTAAAAATACTTTGCCATACTTTGTGCATGAATGAGCTACATTCTCATGGTACATGATCTTATCTTACTTTGCTTGATTTTTTTTTGCATTCTTCCAATTATTTAGGCAAGTACTTTACTGAGGGCTTGACACCACACTAGGCAGAATCTAAGACTATTGGGCTGTGCCATAAGCAAGCAGCACCTCATATCTTTGCATGTAAAGAAAAACAATGTTGTATGAAAACTATTTGGAAAACAAGTATCACTACCTCAATACCAGGTAGGTTGCCTAGAAGAAATCATGTCCTGAAAAATCATTTTGAAGAACATCAGTTTAGAAGTATAAAGAAAAAAACGTAGAAAGGTCCTCAAAAATAATAAAATGTTATGTAAAAGGGCTCTTATTTATACTCACTGTTTTGGTCTTTATGAATATTCATGCCCATATTCTTTTGAAACATTATATTTATTTAATTTGAAAGGCCAGTGCTTCAGATGAGAAAAAACTCATGCAGGGAAAATGAGTGAATTATTCATCTAAAAACAAATACTGTTTTGAGACTCTGTTTTATACTTGTGTATTCAACATCTACATAAATCAGCCCCCCATGGGGCTGTGAATTCCTACAATGGGCTCTTAACACCACAGACCCAAACTTTTAAATGCCTTTGTTGTTTTTTATTTCTCAGCCTGAAAAAGAAAAATCTCAAAAGGGAGAATGCACATCCTTGAGCTGAACAAATGAATGACTGATCTCTGCATTGGCTCGGTGAGGTTTTCAGTACTGGATTTACACAACTTCCTGCCACAGTACTCAACTCCAACACACTCCTCGGGGCACCAGGGCACCATGCTCCCTTCCTCTTTTCGTTAATAATCATCAACTAGCCAACGTAACTGAGGTGGAGTCACCTGATGGGTAAGGACACAAAGTCACAGATAGGAAGTGCCTTACCCAGGTCCACCCTAACAACACATGGCAATGTGTGGGTTGACACTCAGGAGTCTGGTGCCAGAGTCTGTACCCTAACACTCTCTTTGCCTGACTGTGAGGTCCACCACACCAGCATGCAGTTATTCAATTGACATACATGACTTAAGGGTGAAGCCTGGCTTACTTTGAAGACCACATATATTAATAACCATCACAAAAAATAAAGAGGAATAAGAATACCAATGACTGGTTTCTCATTGTCCCCTACACCTATTCACTTTACGTGTGCATTCATTGTGATGCATTTTAATTGTTATTTTTTTTTTATTTTACAGGGACTTTTAACATGAAAAGAGTCAGTAATAAACAGCAAGTCATAAGCTTAAAAATGGTGATAACACAAACATGTACAGTCATGACAAAAGTGTTTCTGACTTTTCACCTAAGAGAACCAGCGGGGAGCATGAAGGCTGCCCCCCACTACCACAAATTATGCTGTCGATTTCCCCACAATCGGTGAAATTAGAAGGGTTAGCACAACTAGGGTGCAGTGGGTAAGCTTTGCCCTGGGAACACCACCTTTCCCATCACAGTATCTCCCCTGCCAGGAAAAAATACTAAGTATTTTATTACTTAATTAACTTCACACTTCTCAGTCACCTTTCAAATCTCAGGAGAAGGGTTTTAAGGATAAGGAAAAGCACCCACGACAACATCATGAATCTAGGGGAAATCAAGACCAATAGTCTCCGTGAAGATGGGGTTTACTGGGATTTCTGGTTTTTAAGAAATGTGGATTTAAACTTGATGTTGTCATCACACAGACCCATCAGAACCAGGGAGAGCTTTTTATTTATCCGCTGTCTCGGTCCTGTCTCCAGGGAGCTACAAGGCCATGCCTGCGTTCCTCCTCTGGGTCTACCTACCATTTTAAAGTAGTGCCCCTTCTACTGAGGGTCACCCCCCAAGCAGAGAAAGGGACACTTGGCTGCATCTGGGTGAATCCACCACCTGCTGGGAAGCCCAAGTGTTGCAGTGCGGTCACTGGCATGGACCTCATCTCCATCCCGGTCTGTGAATCTTCCTGCCAGTGAGTCACTCCCGAGAACTAGGGGTGCCATCCAAGAGGTCACGTGTTCCGCAGGCCATGGGGACTTCCAGGCCCAGCCAGGTTGAAAATGGGCTCAAAGCAGAGTGGCTCTCATCCCTCCAATAATCTTTGTTTCTGACCCCCTGCACCATTGTTTTCTTTTAAAGGAGAATTTCACATTGTGTTGTTATTGGGAAAGGAAAAACAGATCTCATTCTGTTTGGACAAGAGGGATACAAACATCTGCTCTTATGTCATTACCATTCTTCACAATCTCTTACCAGCTATTGTGTTTCCCAAATAATATTTTTTAGTTTTTGTCCTACCTCAAAACTACCCAATTTCTTCTCAAACCAGATATTATTAGAAAACATTAAAAATTTAATTGACATTTAAAAAGAGCCATATGACTTCTGGCTGCTGATGTTAACCTCGGTCGCCGGGCCAAGGTTGTGTTCATTAGGCCTCTCCACCATCAAGTCCCTCTCCCCTCACCCCATCCGCATTGTCCTCGGGCAGGAAGTCCCCATGTGCAGCCCACACTTGAAGGACGAGAAATGAGGTTCCCCCTTCTTGAAGTCAGACTATCTACAGAAATTATGTAGAATCATCTGCATGAGAAATTTCACTGTTCTCCCCACTTATTTATGCACTAAATTATTCATTTACATCAGCGTGGATTCGTATTGTTTTATCCTGTATTAGAATCCCAAACCATCCTTATTCTGGTGTTAGAATTGTTCCAGCTTTTATTTTCCTTGGAGAAACGACTGAGTCTAGAACTGGGGCAGGAAATACACAGGACGAACTCGGACCCTCTGGGAGTGCTCACACATGCACAGTAACAAACAGACACCCCTCAGTGACGAGGCACGTCCAGCACACCGGACAAGAGACAGTGAAAGGGCTTCCACTCTTGCAGCCCTCTCTCACAGTCTGAATCTTCATGAGCGAGTCTCTTGTAAAAAGCACAGAATCAGGTATTAGTTTGTGAGACAATATAAAATGTTTTTTTCTTTTTATAAGTAGGTTAAACCCATTTGTATTCACTGATATGACTGCAAAAGGTTCATATTGATATAACTTGGCCAAAAGGTTCATAGTGATTTTACTCTGTGTATGACATATTTTCTGTGGTCATTTGTCTCTATAAACAGTTTTCTTTGATTTTTTTCCATCACATTTGTTTGTATTTAGGAAAGTTTGCATTTTTGTTTCAGTGGTAACTGCTACACACACACACACGCACACGTGTGACACACACACACACACCGGTGCCCTTAGTCTTTCTTTTCCTTACTCAGCGTGTGCTATTTGCTTTGTCAGCTTTGAACTTCACCCTTCAGCTCTCATTGACTCCCCAAGCAGTAATCAGGGAGCTCCTTTTATGTCTCCTTTCTCTTTCCTCCCAGTTGCAAACCTTTCATTAAATTGTGACATCCACACAAAAACACACAATTCCTAACTGAACAGCACAGTGGATTTCACAAAGCAACCACAGTGGTATAATCAGAACCCAGAACAAGAAACAAAACATTTCAAGTGTCCCAGAAACCTGTCCTTTTGTGCCACCCCACACAACTGTGGGCACAAAAGTAACCACTATCCTGACTTCAGGGGAAGGCATTAATTTGGGTTCTTTTTAAACTTTATATAAATGGAATCCTACCACACATACACCTCTACATTTGAATTTTTCTGATCAACATGATATTTTTTGGATTCCTCCGTAATGTTGAGTACCATTGCCATGGCTCCTTCATTCTCTTTGTTGTCTAACATTCTTTTGTGCACACTTCATTGAATCGTTTTTGTTAATGGACATGTAAATCATTTCCAAATGTAAGCTGTCATCACTGCTACAACCTTTCATGTACATATCTTTTGATGAATATGCTTATACACTTATGTTGACTCAAAACTGAATAAAATTGCTGAGTAGTAAGCTATGCATGTGTTTTGTAGTGGATACTAAGTTTCAAAAGTTGCAAGTAGTAGAACCAATTTTCACTACCAAAATCAGTGCGTAAGAGTTTTATCTGCTCAATGACCTTATCAATACTTCTCCCATTTAAAAATTCTCTCACCTCCATCTTTTCAGAGAATACAACATGTACAGGTACTGTTTTCCCATTTGCCTCCGCTGTCATTTTACTCTTACATCCACAGTGTCCATAAAGTGTGGAAACCGATAATATTGTCTTCTTTATTATCATTTTATAGAATGAACCAATCCAAGAAAAACACTGAATATTCACCTGTGCTTCCAGGTGAATATGGATGTCCTGGATCCGTAATCCAGTAATGGATGCCCTGCAAAGCCCAACATATTCAGTGCACATCATCAGTGGTATTGCCCAAGCATCCCAGTCATCTCTCCTAGAAAGAACCTTGTCCTTTTGCACGGTGCTCCTCAAAGGGTGCTCAGTAGGCTGGCAATTAGTACAATAGGAGATAAGAAACTTTTGCCATAATTAAATAAATTATTTCACTAAAAATGCTTTCATTCAATCAACTTTTCTGTTTGGTATGCACGTTTTGTTTTCCACAAAAGCACGTGGTACGCTGAGTTACTTTCTGCAACAAGTTCCTTATCTCCTCATCATGAAGTAAGTCTTTGAAGAGCACTACCCTAGTAGATTTCTCAGGAAGGATTCATAAATACTGTATTACTTGAGTTTTTGAATCTTGAGTTTTGCTGGATAGAAAATTACAAGCTCATGTAAAATCCATCCTTGAGTTTCCTCAATTATTGTTCCATTGGTATCTCGCTGTACATGTCAATATAGACAATTCTAATGGTAATCTGTTTTACTTTCCCATAAATGATGGATCCTTTTGATGGAAAACCTGAAGATTTGTTCTTATCTTTAAAAATCTATAAGGCATCTCAGAAACATGGTGGCATTGACCATTTTAGGTTTTCTCAGTTACTTTGTGGACTCTTCAATGTACAGAACCAAGTCTTCATTCGCTTTCTTCTATTTTAGTTTTTAGTTTAGTTTAGTTTAGTTTAGTTTTTAAACATCAGCTCTGTTTCACTACATTAATTCTGCTTATAGGAACTCCAGTTACATAAATATTAAAATGCTTTATCTATTGTTTACACCTTTCCCTTTTCTCTTTAATTTTTTTCACCTCTCTATTTCAACTTGGTGTTCTTGGCTATTGTCAAACATCGATATCCTTTATTATATTTTCATGAAATCTATTCTGCCCTATGCACTTTCATCTTTTTTTCAATGTTTTTGCCCTGAGTTTAACCAATTGTCATTTTATACCTCCCCATTTTTAATCCACTTTTGTTCTGAATTTTTAAATTTCTAATTTGAAGTTTTAAATATTTCTAAAAATGCTTTAAGAATATAAATTAGCTTGAAATGGTGTATTACATTTGTGGGGAGGGTTACAGCCTGTTTTGGGTGGCTTTCCATTCTCATTTTTTATTTCTTCTTATAGAAGTTTTCTACAGATGCCATGGGCCATGTTCTTTTATTTTTCTGAACAAATAATACCACATGTATGTGACAAGAATAGATATAGCTTTCTATTCTGATAAAATAAAATATGTTTTTTTAAAATAACTGGCACCTGGGGGGACAGCAGAGTGGGTGCTGATTTTTTAAATTCATAATTTATCCCCTCCAGTTTTATTGATATATAGTTGACATATAACATTATATGTTTGTGATATTCAACATGTTTATTTTACACATTTTTTCTGTTAGAACGATTACCACCAAAGTGTTAACTATATACGCCCAGCCCTTGTGGCTGCACTGTTGGTGAAATGTAAACTGGCGCAGCTCTGCGGGAGACAGTATGGAGGCTCCTCAAAGAACTAAGGCAGCACTGACGTGATCCAGCAGTCCCACCTCGGGGTGTCCAGCCCAAGGAAATGCCATCCGGACCTCAGAGAGCGGCACTCCCACATTCACCGCAGCCTTTTTCACAATAGCCAAGATATGGAAACAACGTAAGAGTTCACCCACCGATGGAAGGATAAAAACGATATGGCATATATAAACAATAAAATATTATCCAGCCATAAGGAATCAGAAAATCCTGTATTTTTGCAACATGAATGAACCTTGAGGACATTATGCTAAATGAAATAAGTCAGAGAAAAACAAATAATAAAACAAATAATTTTGCTTACATGTGGAAAGCTAAATTCAGAAACAGAGAGCAGAATGGCGGCTGCTTGGGGAGGGAGGCAGCTGGGGAAATATTGGTCAAAAGCTACAAACTTCCAGTTGCAAGGTGAATAGGTCCTGAGGATCTGATGTGCAGTACGGTGATTGCAGTTGTAATACCATATTACATACTTGAAAACTGCTACAATAGTAGATCTTACATGCTCTCAAAACAAAAAAGAAAGGTTCATACTTTTTTTATTATTTTTTCTGTACTACCTTAATTTCCACTTTTATTCTTTTTTCCTTTGATCGCTAGGCATCCAAGAGACACACACTCTCTCTCACCACCCCCAAAGTAGTGTCTTTTCAAGACTGCCACCTCTGCCC